ACAGTGAATGCATTGTTGTTGTTGTTAAGTGCTGTCTAGTGAGTTGTTAAGTGCCGTCTACACAAGGGCAGTGGTTCAAATCCACCGGCTGCTCCACAGAAACCTATACAGGGTCACTACAGGTCAAAACTGACTGGACAGAACATAATAGCAATATGGTTGTTATGTGCCATCTAGTCAGTTCCAACTCATAGTGACCCTGTATAGAGTTTCCAAGCAGCAGCTGGTGAGCTTGAACCACCCACCTTGTAGTTCAAAGGACTTTGTAGTCTGACGCATTCGCCCACAGTGCCACACCAGGACTCCAAAGCAGTACATAAATGTTGTGTAGATGTAGATAAAAAGGTAGCAACAAACCACAGATGTAAGATGGGGAAGTAAGTGCCTTTCAGTAGCTGCCTTAATGTCCAGGCCTTGAACTGGCCTCTGGGACTCCCCCACCCTCTGCTGGCCTTGCTCTGCCCTCCTGGAGCCTGCCAAGTAAATCAGAAACACCTCAGTGGACAGCCTCCAGGCTGAACCATTGGAGCTGAGGATAGCTGAGTGCAGAATGGAGCCCCATTTCAATCTTGGGGCTCAGGGAGAGCTTCCCACAGGGCAGGAGTAAGGAGAGCAACCCAGGCAGAAGAGCAGTAGATAGAGGGTCCCTGAGGGAAACTGGAAAAGGCAACAGAGCTAGACGTGCAGTGGTGGGATCACAGAAGGGAAGAGGGACTTTGTCCTGAGAGCACGATGTTCCCTGCTAAGTCCAGGATCAGGCTAAGGACTAGTCCAGTCTGCTGCCTTCTCTCAGGCACAGGGCGCTCTGTGTCCATGCAGTCGACCCCCAGCCCTGGTGGGCGCTGAAGCAGCTTTTCATCTTCTTGTTATTCTGCTTCGTGCATTTGGAAATGAAAGCTCTCCCTCGCCTCTTCACCGGTCATACATATTTCATACGGTCATTAGACAGTACCACTAAAGGCCTCACAAATCTTCCTGGTCAGCATTGTGACCTGGGTGGGCAGAAAGAGGCCCAGAGGGGAGGGGCCACTGTAGGACTAGTGGCGGGGGCCAGAATGGTCAGAGTGGAGGCCAGCATCTGTCTGGAGAGAGTCTCATCTTGTCCCCAGAGGCTCATTCCTAATCTCCTTGGACCTCAGCTTGGCTCCAGGGCAGAGGGGATTGGACAAGGGGACCTCAGAGTCCTTCCCACCCTGACAGTACAAAGGCAGCTCTGCCAGATAAGAGGGCTTGTCCCAGGGATGCTGCTCAATGCCATACCACCCATAGCTCTGCTCTGCCCTTTCACCTGTTGGAGCCCACTGTCCAGCATCTCTCCTTTCCTAGTTCCCTTCCCCTTGGGCTTCTCTCTTCCTATCTTTGTCCCATCTCTCTATCCCTTCACTTTTTAATCTCCACCCCGCCCTGCCCTCATACTAGAGTTTGCACATTCATTTTTCAAGCATTTGTGAAGTACCTACTGTGTGCTGGGCACTGTCTGCTAGGAGGTGAGCCTGTCCACCTTAGAGCTTGCTCTCTGGCATAAACTGGGAGAGATCCTGGTAGTAGCTTCCCCAAACCTTTTCCCGTGACCCATGATGCTGAAGTAGGGCTGGGGACTGAAGGAGGCTGATCACACAGCACCCTTAGCTGTTGACACTGGCTGGGATCTGGGGTCTCTTCATCACACTGACCCCTCCCCAAGGGGCTCATGGAGACATAGTTCTGCCCAAGACCCAGATGAAGTTACTACATTCTAATGATACTGTCTTAGACTGGGTTTTCTAGAGAACCGAAACCAGTGAAACATATACATATACATGTATGTTGTTGTTGTTGTTAAGTGCTGTTGGGTTGATTCCAACCCATAGCAACCCCGTATAAGATTTCCAAGGAGCAGCTGGTGAGTTTGAACCACTGACCTTGCAGTTCAAACGACTTTGCAGTCTGATACATTAACCCACAGAGCCACAGCAGGACTCCATATGCACTTAAATATACATATAAAGAGAAAAGTCCTGATGTGGCACTGTGGTTAATGCTTTGGACTGTAAAGTTGATTTGAACCGCAAAGTCAGCATTCAAGCTAACTAGCCAATCCTCAGAAACCGTATACAGGATCACTATGGGTCAGAACCGAATCATTAGCACTTAACAGCAACAATATATAAATAGAAGTTCAGACCAAGGAAATGGCTCATAGAAGTGGAAAGTCTCAATTCCAGATCCAGAGGGAAAGAGAACAAGCTTGTCCTGCGTGTCCACTATGTTGGGAACAGGCCACACCCCCAAGGACATATCCTTTCAATTGGTTGACTGCTCATAGCCAATCATCATAGAGTTAACTATGCCTGTATTAGTGGATAACCACTGCCAAATTGACATAAAACCCTAACTATCACAGAGAACATACTTCATGATTATTATTTATCAATAGAGCCAAGGAGAATTTGGGTAGGACAAGGTTCCTAGAAGGGGAGAATAAAGGAGAGACTGCTATGGTGTGGCACTGCGAGTTAATGCGCTGGACTACAAGGTCGGTTTGAACCACAAGGTGGGCAGTTCAAGCTCATCAGCCACTCCTGGGAAACCCTATACGGGATCGCTATGAATCAGACATAACTCGACAACATTTAACAACAACAACAACAACTATGGGAAGCATTGGTCTCCTCTCCTGCAGTCTAACCAGTTTCCCATCCTTCTCCTCTTAGTCTCAAGAGCCTAAGGGTGCCGGCTCTAATCCCAGCACTGGGAAGATGGGAGTGAGTTGTTTACCCTCTCTATGCCCCGTTTCCCCATCTGTCATCTGGAGGTAGAAATAATAATAGTAAGGGAGCAGTGGTCGTTCCATAGTAAAATTCTTGTCCATGTAGGAGACCTGGGTTTGATTCCTGGTCAGTGCTACCTCCTGTCAGTGGAGGCTCACATATATCTATGATTCTGGACAGATTTCAGTAGAGCTTCCAGACTAAGTCAGCTTAGAAAGAAAGTCCTGGTGACGTACCTCTGAAAAGCAGCCAATGAAAGCCTTACGGATCACAAGAGTCCAATCCCCAACTAACCATGGAGGTGGCACCAGACCAGGCAACATTCAGTTCCACTGTATAGCCAACAATAGTTACAGCTATGGAACCTGCCTCACCGGGCTGTTATGAGAATGAAATGTGTCGTGTCACCAAGAGGAATGACACAGAGTGGGGTTGGGGTCGGGGAGCCAGTCCTGGGTGGATTACGTAGCACAACATATTCCCTTTTACTTATTCAACAATAATTACTGAGATGCTGTCTGTGATGTGCTCAGATCCTGGTAGGAGTGGTAGAGGGGACTGAGGGCCACACAAAGTCTACTGGAACACAAGCTATGGGGCAAAGTGGAAATCAGGAATCAGAACCAAGTCCTGTCAAAACCCAGGTTGCTCAGAGCCCCTGAAATGCATATTTGTAGAGCCAAGTTTTCTGGATAACCAAGATATTAACCCATTAGGTATCAATGTTTTCGTTTCATTTCAATCACTTGGGCAAAAATATATTATTCACTTATCTGCCTTCCTGAACTGAATACGCTGAACATAAATTAGCTTTTTCATGAAAATTCAGGTTATTATAATGAACATAGAATTTAATAGAGTTCATAGAACCTAGGAGCTTTAAAAGGAACCTCAGAAAATATTTAGTACAAAGATTTTAAAATACATTTTTAGCAGCAGAACGTTTGTTGAATTGCGATGTCAGAGTGAAGACTGGTGCAAAAAACAGATGTCTGGGGGCCCCAAGGTCAGCCCAAGGCCTTTCTCTCCTGATGCTGGTGACACGCAGTAATGTGCTCAGTACCAGGGCAGTGGTCTGAGGAGGGAGCAGAGATCACACCTAGGACAGCAGAATATAGTATGTACTTGATAAATAATTATTGATGGATGGTGTTAATTAACCTGTACTGTCAATTATAACCATATAAGGGAAACTGCAGAAGTCCCGTGATTCCAGACCCAAGAGTGAAAACCCACTGGAAACATCAGTCACCCAGGAGAAGGGAAAAGATGGAGAGAGATCACACTTTGGTGTCCTTGAGGAAGGAATCCCAGACTGGGAGTGAAGAGGCCCAACCTTTGCCCTATTCTGCTCCTCACCCAATTGTGACATAGAGTGAAATATGCTCGGATCTGGGACTCAGTTTTGTTATCTGTGAGATGGATGGAAACTTGTCTTCCTCTTCCGATAGGATGGTTGTTAGGATAATAAACATGGATTTTTTTTTTTAATTGAAAAGGTAGAATTGTGGTGGTAGTGGCATTGTTGTTGTTGTTGTTGTTAAGTGCCATCAAGTCGGTTCCAACCCACAGCGACCCTGTACAGGGTTTCCAAGGGTGTAAATCTTTATGGGAGTAGAAAGCCTCATCTTTCTCCCGCAAAGTGGCTGGTAGTTTCGAACCGCTGACCTTAAGGTTCGCAGCCCGATTGGTAACCACTATGCTACCAGAGCTCCTTGCTGTTGTCAAATTGGCCCTGACTCACGGAGAGCTCGTGCTCAATGGAAGTAAACTCTGCCTGATCATGTGCCATCCCCACAACCAGCTGGGGTTGTGGTCCTTAGGATTTTCATGGGCTGATTAGCAGAAACAGGTCACCAGGACTTTCTTTCTGGTCCATCTTAGACTGCAGGCCCAGCTGAAACCTATAAGCCTACACTGACAGATGGGTGGAGACTGCACCTAAGTGCCTTGGTGAGGAATTGAACTCAGATCTCACATGGAAGGAGAAAATTCTGCCACTGACCCTCAGTACCTTCATGCAGGTGCTCAGTCAGACCTGAGTCCAGAAGGGTTCGCAGAAGACAGATTGTCAACAACTGCACACTCCACTTGTGGCTAGTGCCCACCAGATTGAACGGCACAGCTCTAGAACATTTCTGGGGACGAGGAATTGTGTGGGAAACATAGATGCGCTGTGAACGTTTCCTGGTGGGACCAGATGCCTCATTTGGGCCTTGTAGTCATCACGTCTTATTCTCATCTCTACAGGCAACAGACAATGATGTCGGCACCTTTGGGGAAGTCAACTATTTCTTCACCGATGACCCTGACAGGTGAGACCCTGCCCCAGCCCCCCACAGTGTCCCTCTGCCACTCACGTGATCTGCGAGACCATGGTGCCCAGGGAGGGTGTTGTACAATGGACAGGCAGTCAGAACTCATGGGTACTGTTGAGGGTTTGGCCTTGTAAGAAGCGTGAGTGTGTGTTGAGGGTAGGAGGCCCTCTGACCTCCTCTGACATCACCAGGGAGAAGGAGAATCCCACTCATCATCCGCCCATGGCCACTCGTATGAGGCTCCGGTCAGATATGCCTCCCACCCCCCTCCAACCTTTCTTACTAATTCTGGTACCAATCTCCCTTCCAAGGTGCCTTACTCTGCTAGGTTGAGTGGCCACACAGAACTCAGACAATACTCCGAAGTATGGGCTTATTAGGGAAGTTAATAGGTTATAATTTAGGATCAGAAATGCTCAAGACACAGTTTTTCGGTCAGGACATCCTCTTCCTAGCCTTAGTCCTCAGCCTGTCAGTCACACTGCCCCTTGGCCTCGGCTCTGCTCTGGAAAAGTTACAAAGCTCTGCTAGCCCTACTAATAAGGGTAAATTCCATCCTAAGACTTAGCCCAAATGCACTACGCTCTTAACTCCGAAGGCCAGCAAACCTAGCTTCCCCTATTAAGTGCCTGGAGGCAGTGTACCCCTCAGTCAAGCCTTCTGCCCAAAGGCACTGAGCTTCACTCCCTCTGTGGGCCTGGAAACTCACCACTGTCTCGAACTCAGGCTTGAGTTCTGCTACTGTTGCTTCTCGGGCATCACAGCATTCTGTACTGGATCACGGAGGACCAATCACAGAGTTCAAAGACCGCACCCCATTCCTGGCTCTTCTTTCTCTGTAGGAGTGAGATTCCCTGGTCCTGCTTCTGAGATGGCTCATTTTATACCCAGTAGGATGGCAAAATTGACCAATCCCCACATTAGAGTTCCAAGTTTTAACAATCACAATTAACCCTGTTAACAGTCACAGACAACTGAATTATATAATCCCCTATCCATTACCAGATCCATCAGGAAAAGAGGAAATACCCCCAACCTGCGTGGTCCCACTCAGTTGTTTGGTGGGAGTTGTGATGACTGTGGCTAGAAGAATCATATTAAATAACTCGCTGCGCCACAGGTCTGGTCATGTCCCTGTGATAGTGAAGGTTTGGTATCAACTTGTCTGGGACAGGATTCTCAGTGAGTTAGAAGTTGAGATGTGGTTATCCCCATGATATAATTTGATGCGATAAACCAATAAAAGGATATTAAGAGTGGGATTGTTGTTCTCAAGAGCCATGAGTAGGTTCCAACTCATAGGATTCCTGAGGAGTGGCTAGTGGTTAGCAGTTCAGTACTTAGCCTACAGTACCACACAGAACTCCATAAGGACACTACCTTTAATCTCACCAACACCCTGATTTGGTTTATGGGAGATTCCCAACACTTTATTTTACAAGAGATAAAAGGAGGAGAGAGACTTGAGCAGAGAAAGTGGGACCCACTCCATCAAGACAGAAGAACTGGGAGTGGACTGCATCCTTTGAACCTGGGGTCCCTGCACAGAGAAGCTGCGAGATCCAGAGGAAGAGTGATGTCTAGATACATGGAGATCTGTAAGGAATGCTGGCCACTAGGAGTAGATGCTGAACAGAGATAGGACCTTTCCCCAGAGCCAACAAAGAGAAAGCTGTCCCCCAAATCCAGCCCTCCACATCTGGACTACTAACCTCCTAAACTCTGAGAGAATAAATTCTGGTCATGAAAGCCGTCCACTTGTGGTATTTCCGTTACAGCAGCACTGGGTATCTGACATCCCCTAAACTCTGTGGCTTTGGAAATGATGACTATCTCTGAAAGATTGTGACTTGCTAATGATAGCACATCACCACTGCCACCATCACCTCCATCAACACCAACACCACCATCACCCTCGTCACCACCAACACCATCACCCTGTTCACCACCAACACCACCACCACCACGATTACCATCTCCACCATCACCACTGCCGCCACCGCCACCACCATTACTACCACCACCATCACCATCACCACCTTTCACCAACACCAACACCAACACCACCATCACCCTTGTCACCACCAACACCATCACCCTGTTCAACACCAACACCAACACCACCATCACCCTCTTCACCACCATCACCATCACCCTGTTCACCACCAACACCAACACCACTGTCATCATCCCCACCACCACAGTTAACATCATCATCACTATACCACCACCACCATCATCAACATCACCACCAACACCACCACCACAATTAACACCATCATCATCACTTACCACCACACCTTCATCATCATCCCCACCACCACCACCATCATCCCCACCACCACAATTAACACCTCTATCATCATCACTATACCACCACCACCATCACCACCACCACCACTATCACCAGAAACTGTTGCATTTGTTTATATTTGTTATCTCATGCAATCCTCACAACTAAATATGGGAGAAACAAAATGATAAAAAAGTGAACTGTAGCTTCGAGAAGCTGAGCCACTTACCCAAATTCTCTGAACTTGGTCTTTGGGCTACACTTCCTCTAGGTTGGAGTGGGCTCTCACTGCACAGTACCCTTTAACTGTATTACTTGCCTCCTAGTTTGATCTATGCCAACTTTGTCCAACATGGTTCTGGGCTATCTGTTTCCCCTAACTTTCTACCATCTTCAGTTATTCTGAGCCAAGATGAGGTTGTCTTGTTTTTTTGTTGTTGTTTTTTTAATGTAGAAACTATTTTATCGTATGTTCTTTGTTTAATAAATATTTTATATAAATATAACATTTTCACAAAATGAAAGCATCTATGAAACCACAATCCAGATAAAAAAATTGGGCATTATTAACATACTCCTCCTATCAGTCTTCCACCCCAAGGTAACCATTGTTCTGACTCATTACCACAGAGAAATGTTGCATATATTTGAACCTTATAATACATAGTGTTGTTTTTTTTTAAATGCTTTATTGTGAATTATGTGATAGTTTACATGGGAGGACATCAGGTTCACATTGATCCTGTCATATATTGTTTCATTGCCATGGTTACAATCCTTCCATGCATCATACACAAGCCTGCCCCTCTCCCTCTCCAGGTCCAAAGTCCCCAGGCACTCCATCTCCCCACATCATCGTCTCTGCCTCCATCCCTGGCTTCACTGCTTCTCTGGATACGGTTCCGTTCTCCGCTCTTCTCCTTTGATGGTCCCAAGGATCTCCGCTCCTAGACTGCAAAGTTAATCACTCCCCTCCCTTTGCCCCAAAACATCTACCTTCATATTCCCAGCCCTTACAATCAGTCCTGATAACAATTATTCGCTATTGTATCACAAGAGACCTATCCGCATCTCCTTTCATCAGCCCTGACTAGGCTGAATGGATACTGCTCAGTGGAGAGTCTATCTTGCTCCACACCCTCTGAATCTAGGTTCCCTCTTGAAAGCTTGTAAGCCAGTCACTTCTTACCTCTGTAGCCAGTGTCCAAGTTGCCCATTCCTGTCGTCTCCATGTGCAGAGGTGGTGGGAATGATCCTCATTGTGAAGATTTGTTCACTCTTTTGAGCTACTGGTTCCATAGGTGTATGTCAAGTTCATCAAATTGTATCAGATTTTTTTTTTTTCCCCTCTTCTTTCCTCTTCTATTTGAGCTCTGATCCTCCTGCCATTGAAGCCAGGTCCAGTGGGTATTATCTGCAAGTGTGGGTGTACTTACGCATGTGCCCTCTCTTCTTATCAGCTGGACACTTCACCCTCCACTCTAGTCCTCTGTGGCTATGTCGCTGACTCGGTCCAAGATTCCCCTGGACTTGGCACACTGCTGTCCTACCAGATCTCCATCCAGGTTCACAGGAATCTATTGAGCTTTGCAGGGCTTAGCTCACAGCTTCATTGCTGTTTTCCCTCACTTCCCCTTATTGGTGAAACCAGAGCATGCATTCCCATTGAGCCTTAGTCTTAGAAGGGGGTTTGCTCTGAGGGGGACCTAACCACTTGCTTTGATGTCTCCTGGGCGAGCCACTTGTTTGTACTTATAGTAATCAGTTGGCCTGCCTATATTATTTTGTATTTTTCCTGTCAGTCTTTCAGGAAGTATCTGCTTGTCCTTTCAAGTGGAAATTTCCCCTCAGAAGATTCTGGATGCTGTTCAGGATTCCACCTATGGTCTTGTGTAATGCAGAGGCTCCGCAGGAAGCCTCCTTCGCTGGGCACGCTGTATCCCCATTTTAGGTATTCCAATCAGTTATAGGCAGAAGACAGACTTACAGGTTTTCTATGGTGGTATTTCTGGCTATTCCTTTCTCGCCCCCTCCAGTGTCTATTGAGGCTGTCTTGTTTTTAACATGAACAAAGGCCAAGTCAAATTCAGAGGCAGGTCTTTGTCTAAAACTGAAGTGTCTGCTGCATTTGAAGCCCAACAGGATGAGTAAGTGACTTGTCAGTTTGGATATTGGCCCGACTATCCATGGGTCATCAAGAACAGACTGGGAGATTGTTTGGTTTGCCTGGCTGTTCTCTGCCCCTCTGTGATTAGGGAAGGAAGGAAGGAATGAAGCAGTGGGATGAATGCAGGGGCATCCTGTCCCCCAAGGGACCTGCATCTACATGGCCTTGGCCTGACTGTTGTGATTTTCTCATCTCTTCCTTCTCCCAGGCCTAAGTGCCTCCAAGTCTCTGAGCCTTTCCAGGCTTGGTGACCAGCCCAGTGGACCAGGTCAGAGCACACAAATGTCCACTGACAACTCAGATGAGGCTTCAGGAGGGGCATGCCGAGGAAGAAGTTAGAGTGACCATCTTAAACTGAACTGAGTCCCTCCCCAGGAGCATTAGCTAGCTCTTACACAACAACAACAATGCAAGGTTTCGAGAGTCCTGCTATGGCGCTGTAGGATAAGCACTTGACCACAAGGTCGGTTTGAACCACAAGGTCAGTGGTTCAAGCTCATCAATCAGTCCTCAGAAAACCTACACAGGGTCACTATGAGTCAGAACCAACTCAATGGCACGTAACAACATCACCACCCAAGGCTTTGAGTCCTGGAGTGGCTGTAGTATAAGCACTAGACTGGTAACAAGGTCAGTGGTTCACACCCACCAGCCGCTCCTCGGAAACACTATACTAGGGTTGCTATGAGTCAGTAGTGACTCAGTGGCACTTACCAGCAACAACTCTTTAAAATTGAAATATCACCAATAGGCAGAAACATGGTATTCACAGTAAGAGGAGGGCCATTTGCTTGAATTTCCTCCTTGGTTCAATCCATCTACTCCTTCTGCCTTTTCAGGACCTGACCACTCCACCTGTGTGATCCTGAACCCTGCCCACCTCCCACTACTCCCTTTAAAGATACCTGTTTCCTTCCTGTGGTTGAAAAAGAAGACAAACTTCAGACGGCATTCTTTTTCTCTCTGTATACCTCTTTCAGAAGACAGACTAGTAAATGCAGGTGCTTATTCTCCTGTGAACCTCATGTCCTCTCTCTCGCTCCCTCTTGCCTGATGCAGGTTTTCTCTGGACAAGGACATGGGGCTTATCATGCTGATTGCCAAACTGGACTATGAGCTGATCCAACGCTTCACCTTGACAGTCATCGCCCGGGATGGGGGTGGTGAGGAAACCACAGGCCGGGTCAGGATCAATGTGTTGGATGTCAATGACAATGTGCCCACCTTTCAGAAGGACGCCTATGTGGGTGCCCTGCGAGAAAACGAGCCTTCTGTCACGCAGCTGGTGCGACTCCGGGTAAGATTCCTGGGGCGTCCTGCCATCCTGCCGTTCATCTTGTCCTCCTGTGTGCTGTCTTCTTCACCACTCCCACTAGAGGTGTGCTGGCTCCCACCCACCTTTACCGAAGGATTCTGCCAAAGCTGGGGCTAAATCCTGGGTCTACGCTGAGTGGGAGGAGGAAGAGAAGACTGGTCCAGAAAAGCACAGTAAATTAGCAGCAGAGCCAGGACTAGAACTTGGGACTCTACGAAGTGTCCTCCCTACTCCAGTAACCTTTGACCAGAGACGTCTTCATGTCCCCCCCACCCTGCCCACTCCAAGTGTCAGGACCCAGAGCCTTTACTTAGAACTTGTGTTTGAAGCAGACAGGGATAAAGGCAAGGGTGGAGACACCCAAAAGACAGGTGCCCACCCAGCATGCCATGGTACCCACAGGACTCTGCCCTCCCCTCCCCACTCAGCTCCTGAGGCTCTCTAGGGTCAGAACAATCTGGAAAGAAGCTACTAATGTAGCTTCTCAGAAGACAGCAAATGGCATCTCTGTCCTTGTATTCATGTACCTACTGTGCATGGTGGCTCATAGGCTAAGCACTGGTCTAGGATGGTTTCAGTCCTCCGGCCTCTCTGTGGGAGAAAGATGAGACTTTCTGCTCCCTCAAAGACTTACATAGGAATTCAGGGTGGATATGAGTTGGAGCTGACCCGAGATACTTATCAACAACAACCGTATGCTAAACACTGTTAGGGATGCTAGTTATTCAGTGTTGCTGTTGTTAAGTGCCATCGAGTCACTTCCTCCTCATAAGGACTGTAAAGGGTTTTGGAGGCTGTAAATCTTAGCTGGAGCAGAAAGCCTCATCTTTCTCTGTAATTATGCAACAGCTGTGAAATAACAGAAGGTTCCTTCTCTCATGAAGAGGCAGGCTAGCAGGGGACAGGCAGAAATTGCACACCCCAGTCCAGTCAGGTGTGAGGGGTGGTGGGATGCACAGAACAGGGGTCCTAACCTGGTCAGGGAAGGCTTCTGAGGGGTAGGGTGTTGAAGCTGGGTCTGAAAGTAGAGGAGGTAATCAACAGGTATGGGATGATCCCGATTCTTCCCAGCCTGCCCCCTAGATTTCCCAGGCTACTCACACACACACCAGCATATGGAATCCCAGATAGTGACCTCCAGTTTAGAAACGGGGGCCTGATGAAGTCACATAACTGAGGGCGAGATCATCCAAAGAAGGGGCCTGTCCTGTAAGGACTCTGAGAGGGACCAGCTCCACACCTGCCCACCTTCCTCTGGACCCTGGGTTCGGGGGGCTCGATGGACCCTGTCTGCTGTCTTCCTTCCAGGCAACAGATGAAGACTCCCCTCCGAATAATCAGATCACATACAGCATCATCAGCGCCTCTGCCTTTGGAAGCTACTTTGACATCAGCGTGTACGAGGGCTATGGAGGTGCGTTTGGGACACACTTTTGGGTGGAGGGCTCTTTTCTTCTCTGTTACACCCTGGTCACTCAAGAAGCTGCCTGGAAGCTCCAGTCACCTGGGGCAGATAGCTTGAGGTTGCCCTTCTGCAGGGTCAACTTTGTTTCCCAGATCAGCCAAATCTCTCTCTAAGCCATAAGCCCACAGCCAGCTCTGCAAGCAAGCAGGTGTCTGACATTACTAGAATCTTCTTGTGCCCACGTTTCTTACCTCGCTGCCCTGGGCAGATCCATGAGGGTGGAGTCTTGCTGGGGGACCTTCCTCATCCTTAAGATGGTCCTACAGCAACCTCCTAGTCTTCCCAACAATACTAAAAAAAAAAAATCAAACTCGTTGCTGTACAGCCCATTACAACTCATAGAAACCCCATGTGTGCAGAGTAGAACTGCTCCATAGGGTTTTCAAGGCTGTGGCCTTTCAGAAGCAGATCACCAGGCCTTTCTTCTGAGTTGCTTCTGTATGGGTTCACAGTTGAGCACTTACTTACTGGACTTCCAGGCTGTTTGTCCCAATCCCTAGAGCTCTGGCAGCGAACAGCAGCAGCAGCATCAAGTTCTAAGGTTCCCCAGACCCTATGTCATTTTTCAGATGAGGCAGCTGAGACCCATAGACAGGGAGCCTTGCTGCAGGCTGGCACTTGAAGCCATGAAATCTGGCTCTGGTCTGCCTCACCAGCCTCGTCTCTGAGCACTCCCCTGCCCCACACGAATCCACCCCTTGGCGTTTTCTCCCCTTACAGGGGTCACCTCACCTCCATGCCTCTCCTACAGAAAGCCTTTCCTTCCTTCCCCTTTGCCCTGCCTCCCTTGGACAGTTAAGCTCATAACTGCTGGCTAACTTTCAGGGACCATTTGGATGTCCTGTTTCCTGGGGAGCTTCCCTGGCCTTTAAAGACTACAGTAAGGGTAGTCTTGTGCATTTGAATGACCTAGACTCATACTTACTCCTTCCGTGTGTCGCAGAAATTGCATTCCTGGCCTCACATGTTGTAGCCCAGTGGTCTCTGTTCAATCCATGCCCTCCTTTAAAACACTTAGAAATGCCATGTCTGTGCCTGCCCCCACCCCACCCTCTAGTCTTCGGATAGAGGAATCCCTCTAGGGTTCATACTACTAAAGCAATAATTTTCTTTCCATTTTCTAAATAGAAAGAAGTTGCAGTTTAATATTGTTTCAATGCCTTTGCAAACTATGCACGCCTCTCCTCACCCCCAAGGCGGTATTGCCATTCCTCCCGAGTTCAGTAACCAGGGAACAGCACGGATAGTAGTATGGTAGGGGCGCAGGCATGGGCAGCGGGGGCTGGAGGAGGCATCTGAAGGCCAAGTCATCGCCCTCTGCTCCCCCCACATCCTGCCCCTCTGCTGATGTCTAAGAAAAAGGTTTTGGTGCTAGGGATCGTCCGCCACCTCCAGAGTTCTGCTAATGATGAGGGCTGCTACACCACAGTCCTGAGTCGTCCCACCAAGGCCCAGAGTGGATTTACTAGGGAGTCATGAAGAACTACAGGGTCAAGTGAGGAGGGGAGGCAGGAGAGAAGAGGGGGGCAAAGGAGCAAGGGAGAAAAATCGGAGGGGCTTCAAAAAGTTCATGGAAAAATGGAATCACAAGATAATGGAATTTTTACATGACCTTTTGAAGTCACCTTATACCGGCCAAAGGAGGGGGGAATGTCATCTGCACCCTGGCCCCCTCAGCACCCCAATACTGGGCAATAACTGGGAGAACTCTTTGCTGGCCCGGAATGGGTGGGGGCGGATAGGGAACTGTCTAGAGGCCCTAAGGCCGGACTGTTCAGCAAGCAGCTTCCAAGAAGGATACACTGGGGGCTTCAGAAGTTTCTCGGGAAATTCCATTATCTTTTCATTCCATTGTTCCACGATTTTGATGCCTCTTTGTATAAAGAGAAATGCCCGATGAGTCGGTCCAACAGGCAGTAGTGTCTGCTGACAAAGTGCCAGGGGGCTCTGGCTTCAGACAAAGCTGGCCTCTGTCATTGTCAGCTGTGTGGCCTTGGATATGTTAAGGAACCTCTCTGAGCTTGGTTTCCTCATCTGTAACAAGGGGCTGCTAATCATCACCTCCTAATGGCTCAGTACAGTGCCTGGTATACACCAGACACTCAGTCAATGAGACCTTGTGGCTCCAGGAATTCTGGGTCCAACAAAGCAGAGGTCCAGGTCCGCACCAGCTGTGCCTTTTCTGCCCACTGGGGAGTCAAGCCTAGATGGATTGCAAAAGTGTGCTTACAGAGGGCCTGGGGGACCTGTTCCTGTCCTTGCAGTGATCAGTGTGAGCCGCCCCCTGGACTATGAGCAGATACCGAATGGGCTGATTTATCTGACAGTGATGGCCGAAGATGCTGGCAACCCACCCCTGAACAGCACTGTCCCTGTCACCATCGAGGTGTTTGTAAGTACCCAGGAGTTCTGGCCTTGTTCTTCCAACAGTGAGAGTGAGTGCTTCCCAGCCTGCTTGAACCCAGTGATAGAGGACTGTGTCCCCACATCCCTGGCTGGCCCCCAGCTCAGGGAATTGCCTGACAAACTGTCCCCAAACTATCCCATGGTTGTAGCAAGCAAGCTATTTCTCTGCTCAGGCCACCCGGTAAGGTCTAGGACCCTGGAACTTCAAGAAGAAACACACTGTCCTGCTGTGACTTTATTGGGGGTGCAGAACTCAGGACTCCCTCTGAGGGGAATAGGAGCCAGGAGTCAAGCAGGGAGAAAATGCAATGGGATTCTTTTTCTTATCACCACACTCCATGAAGTTGAAGGAAATTACTAGAAGGTCATCTTCTCTCTTCTGTCTCTTACTCTATCTCCCTTTTCTTCTTTTTTATTTTTTGTCTTTTCCACTCCTCTGAAGATCTAAAGGGGCCTGAAAACCAAACCACAGCTTGTCTGACATGAATATCAAACACACGTTAGTGCTTTCTGTGTCTGAAATTATCAGCCGCTGAATCCATCTCCACACTGGCTCATTGGCCCTGTGCTGCTCCCCCAGTGATCTGGGGATTTGGAGCGTGGTCTGACAGCGGGCCGCTCCCCCCTGAGACCTCCCACACGTGGTGCGCACACATAGACCACCGCCTACCACGTTGATGGCAGAGTTAGTGCTTTACCGGCTCCAGGAGGATTAGTTCAGAGTGTCAGGTTAGGAGATACACTGTGATTTGACATAAGCTCAGGAAAATCTTGGCTCCAGAGCAGGCTTGCTGGATAGCCTTCCTGCCAACAGAGTCTGGTGCTGCCCAGACCTGGCTTTCACAAGCCTCATCCCCTTGACCTGGGGCTGAAGCTCTAGACCCGGCTCTCCTGCCTGCACCTACTTGCTTCCTGAATAGGTGGGGCTGGAGGTGGTTGGAAATGCCTCGGGGGAGAGCCCTCCAGGTGGGCACTAGGTGCAGGGTCCACAGGTGTGCAGAACAGGAGGCAGCAAAGTGGACTCTGGAAGCAAGCAGAGAGTCCGGGACTTGCTTCCATAGTCCTGTGTCCAGCACCACCAGAGAGTCATTGGAGCCTGGAAACTTGTGTGTCTTTAACCCACATCCTCCCACCTTCACTTAAAACACTGGTGGTGACACTAAATACTTAGGATGAGCTCCCTGCCCACTGTGACCTTGACCTTGTATTCTTCACACAGCCCTGCCCCTGACACCACACACTCCCACTCTCCCCAAATCCTGGCCACTGTTGTAACCTTGACCAACCCAACTTTTCCTTGGCTTTGTTACCTAGCGCTGCCGTAACAAAATCACCGCAAGTGAATAGCCTTAAAAAACAGAAATTCATTTTCTCTCTCACAGTTCTGGAGACTAGCAATCCTCGTTAGGGTCCTGGTTGTGCTGATGCCATCTTTGGGCTCGTCTCCTCATTTTTGTAGATTGCTGTCAATCCCTGGTATCTGCCTCTGCCCGTGTGTCACTCTCTGTCTTTTCTGCTCTTTTTATAACTCAGAAGGGATTAGGTTTAAGACCCACACTCCCAATAACTTGACCTCATTACTGTAACAAAAGAAAACCCTTTTTCTAAACAGGATCACTTCCACAGGCACAGGAATGGGGATTTCAGCGCATATTTTCAGGGGACACAATTTAATCCCAAATACCTCTCAACCATCTCCTATCCTGCTCCGCTCCACAGGAATTCCCCCTGTGTGCAAGGTGCAATAGCAGGTCCTGGGTGGATGAAGGTAAATATGAAACTGCTCCACCCCCACACTGGACACAATGTGAACAGAGAAAAGTGTGTAGCTTTGGAAGCATGTGTGATTTAAACCTGGGCTTCGTCCTTGTCCTTTCTGAGCCTCGGTTTTCTTGCCTGCAAAATGGGGATAATCATAGTACCTGCCTCATGATAGTGCTGTTAGAATTCAATGACATTATCCAGGTGGTGCCCGACACTGGGAAATATTGGTCATCATTCCAGCTGGTGAGACAGACAGTGTACCTTCAGCAGAATCCAGACCCCAGCTACCCACAATGCAAATGGGAATTTCAGAGTGCAGACTGGAGCCAAAAAGGACTGTTTCTATTCATTGAGGAAGCAAATAAGGGATGGGAGGCTTAGGGAAATGTGATAGGATGGACAGGCATACTTGGCCAAATAGAAATTAAACTGTGTTGAACTACAGAAATGTCCCAGGTGCTTTTGTACCATTTTAGGGATGAGGAAGCTGAGTCTCAGGGAGGGCACATAATTGTTTCCTGGTCACCAGTGCCTTCGTCATTTACCAGCTAGTAAGTGGCAGCGCTGGGATTTGAACCTCGGCCTATCTGATTCCCAGGTTCACACTCTTTCTAGGATTGAGACCAGAATTTATCCATCTGCTTTCCTTGTACACATGAATCGCCTGGGGACCTGATTAAAGTGCAGATTCTCAGGCTGTTGAGTCTGAGGTTGGGCTGAGACCCCAGCCAGCTCTCGAGTGATGTTGGTGCCCCAGTTCATCCTTAGCCCCTCAGACGGGTTCAGAGCAACAGGAAGGCCAAAGGGCAGGCCCCTTGTATCCACTCTGAATGGAAGACAGTGGCTGGCAGCCTCCCTCCATGTGCAGAGGCCAGGAGGCAGGAACTCACCCTGCTCTCCATTCATGAGCCAGGTCCACCAGCAGAAGGGGCATCCTTTTCAAATTCACTCAGAGGTGTCCATGGTCAGTGGTAGCCTGCAGTTCTCTAGGTCCACCACTAAGACAGATGCTGCATGGGTCGTGCCTGAACACTGTCTCGTGAGTAGGGCTTTGGGACAGTCTTAAGGACCACACTTGAAAAGGTCACTGCCTTCAGGTTGATTTTGTAAGTGGGTGATTTTTAAGTGGCTGTCACTGGCTGAGCTGTGGCTCCCTCCACCGAAGGGATTTTCTTGAAGCTGATAAAAAAAAGCCAGCCACTGACGAAGTAGCTGATGGTGGCACTTAAGGTACAGGTTGGGGTGAGGAGGGCAGATCAAAGCGTCCCAGCTCCAGAAGAAAGGAGGGGTGGGTCGAGAAGGGCAGGTGATTCCTTTTCATCCACTGCTTGTTGGTTTTTAATAAAGAAGTCAAACTCAGTTTGTAGATTTCCCATTAGGGGACAATAAGCTTTTGGAGCGGGAGCCGCTGAATTAGAACTAATAGCGAATGCAGCACCAGGATGGGGGAAATATCACCGCTAATAAGTTTCTGCCTCATGCTCTGTCACTGACATTCTCGGCACCGTCTCCTGCAGCCAGGCAGAAGGTTTAAAGATACATGTACATGGGCACCCATGCCCACACTGGGGGCCAGAGTCAGGGCAGTGTCCAGGTGCTGTGTGGGGGCACTGGATGTCAGACCACCAGCTCTGGGGAGGACAAGATGACATCAACCAGGGTACAGTCCAGAGCCAGAGGATAAATCAGGGAAGGAAGAGAGCCGTTCCTATCTGGGTACTGAAATCCCAGCTGATGGTCTCTGAGGCCCCAAGATAGGCAGCACCCCTCATTCCTCCTTCATGCGCGTTCAACCAGAAGAGACTGCAGCTCCTAGGGCCTTCATACAGCATTCTGCCCTCAGGGAGTTTCTGGTCCCATTGGGGAGAAGAGCCTCCGGAGAGTGGAGCTCCAAGAAACCCACACCAAACCCATAGCTGATGAGTCAATTTCAACTCACAGAGACCTGTGTGTTTCAGAATAGAATAGAACTTCTCAGAGTCTTCTTGGCTACAGAGGTACATTGCCAGGCCTTTCCTCCACGGTGCCAGACTTTAGGGGAGGTTGCCAGGCCATTCCTCCTGGTCTCAGCCTTTAGGGGAGATTACCAGGCCTTTCCTCTGTGGACTCAGCCTTTTGGTGAGAAGTGGACTGTAGCATAGAGACTACCCTGGGGTCATTGTGACCCCTGAGTCACGGAAGCTACCCAAGCTGGCCCTGCAGGAAAGCAGAGAACTCTGAATCACATGGGCTGGTGAGCTTCCTCAAAGATGCGGACAGGAGGACTGAGTGGTTGCAAAAGGCAGTCGGTGAGGGAGAGAGTCTTAAGAGGTAGGAAAGTTTTCCCTGATGGAAGTGAAGGAAACGGGAGGATACAGCCATATATACCCGGGCCCAGGTCACAGAGAGGGGTTCGCCCACCCTGCCTGGATCAGCCACGCCCCATCCCTGACCACTGTCCTCATCTGGTCACCGGCAGTGAAGACTGGGCCAGAGGCAAGGTTGTTGCAAAAAGACAAAGTGGCGGAGTTCTGGGCCAGGGTTTCCTGACAGGCCTTGTTCCTGTGTGTGAGGAGGGGTCTGACTGTACCTGCCCCAGAGACAGAGTTCAGACTCAGAGAATTACTAGGGCCAAGCCTCCCCCCATGTGCCTACCACTGTGTTGTCTGGGTTTGGGAGCTCCCTTCTCCGTTAGTTTCCAGGAGAGCTCCTAGGACCTTCCTCCATCACCTTGGCTATGCTGGGAGGACACATCCGAGCAGCTGATGAGTGACGGTCGGGGGACTGGAGTGGAGCCTGGAGCTCAAGTGGAAACTATGGAAAGGGGTGGGGCCTGCAAGAGGGTACAGAGGGCAGGAAGAACTAGGGAGCTGGGAGCTGTGGACCATTCTAACTCTGTGTCCTCCTCCTTCACCTCCCTGCCCTCCTCACCTCTTCTTGACCCTGCATGTTTTCCAAGGTCCACCCTCTTCCTTGAATCATAGCCTAGTCAGAGGTGTCCCTGACCCTTTGTGGCCTGCACCAGAGCGCCTCAGTACCCAGCCAGGCCCCTCCTGCCCCTTGGGACTAACCTTGGACAACAGGCTGCCTGCCTGCCTCCCTAGCTCCTACATCCTGTCTGTTTCCCTTCCAGGATGAAAATGACAACCCTCCCACCTTCAGCAAGCCAGCCTACTTCGTCTCCGTGGTGGAGAACATCATGGCAGGTAGGGGTCTGGCAGGGAGGACAGGAAGGCAGGAGCCCACCTCCATGGGACACCTGTTGTGTGCATGCCTGGCTTGGCACACAGGATGGCATCTGACTTCCTTGAGTCGGTTTCCTACGCCCACACATCCTGTGGCAAATGAAGGGACCTTTGGAGATATCCAATTACCTGCCAGCCAGCAGCTACTTCCAGAGCACTTACAATGCTCCTCTGAGCCTCTGAGCCTCTGGGCAGCATTCGGCTTTCCCTAATGGGTGTTGCCAGCAGGCCGTGGTGGGTACCACCAAGCTGGAAGCTCTTTCTGGCCATAGGGGTGCTCTCTTCCCATTGGGACAGCTTCTGCTTCTTCCCCAAGCACTTTTCTCCATCCCCTGCCCGGTCCCACTGAAATACACACACTGCTGTCCCCAGTCAGTGACCTCATTTGAAGGCCCCATGTAAATGCAATGTGGAGCTCCTTGTTCAAAACTCATGAGTCAAGGCAGCAACAGCAGGACACGAGACTCAACAGGGCTCCTAAGTGGGGGACCCTCTGTACTGCACAGGTCACTCACCTGGGAAGCTGGACCCATAATTACCCCCCCATAATGACTCTGGGAGTCCCCGCTTCAGCCGGCAGTCAGAGTAGCAGGAGGGACTGAGTCTGAAGTCCCAAAGAGCAAGGCCCCAGGACAGAGAAAGTCAGGACTCCCCTTCCGTCCAGTACCCACTCACCCACCCACCCTGGACCAGACATTAAGGAGAAAATAAAAGGCCTCACAATTCCACTGGTGAAGAAGATAAAATAAGATGGAAATTGAGTACAGTAAATGTAGATGAATTTAATAAGGAGCTTCATTTCTTTTTGACTCACAGTAAAAGCAATCATTTGAGGGTATTTAATGCGGAGGCCGGTAGGTAAGGGTGGGGGTCAGAACTAGTGTGTTTCAGGCCTCACCCTCCTCGGCATCCTTGTCTCTACAAGCCCAGAAATCCCAGTCACAGGAATGGTGGCGAGGCCTGATCCGACACCTGGGATGCCCTGGTGGGACCTGAGGGCTGGTAGCGGGGAGGAGGGTGCTCCTGTCCTTTCCTCTGGCCTGGGACTGTGAGCCCAGGGTGAGCAGCCTCCCCTGCCCCCTTGTCTCCTGTAAGGAGCCACAGTGCTGTTCCTGAACGCCACCGACCTCGACCGCTCCCGTGAGTACGGCCAGGAGTCCCTCATATACTCCTTGGAGGGTTCCTCCCAGTTTCGGATCAACGCCCGCTCAGGTGAGCCCTGCTTGGCCCCCTTTCCTTTGTACCCTTGGCTCCCCACCTCTGGCTCTGGGACCTGGCTCCAGGCCAGCATCTCTTTCTTCTTGAAAGAGACCCTTGTGAGCAAACCAGTTTTGAACGCCTTTTTTTATCTCCAAAACTGGCTCCAATTCTTCACACAGTTGTTGGATAGGTTATGCTCTGTGCCTCGGTTTCCCATTTATAAAATGTTGTTGCTGTTGTTATTGTTGTTGTTGTTGT